TGAAGTTATATAAAACAGTCGGATGAGGCCACCCCCAGGATTCTGTCGGAACCACTGCACATAATTTACTGGGTTAGAAAAATTGCACCGCAGAGTAGAGCTCGTTCCCTCCTGGATGCTCAGAGCTGAAGGACTCTGCTCCACATTCATCCCTCTCACCCCTGCTTTGAAAGAGAAAAACAAATACATACAATGTCACAGAGTCATTGATGCAGGCTCCAGATCCAGAAAACACCCCAGGAAACACCCATGAGGATGTAGCTCAGAGTCAGCTCTCCTCCCTGCTCCCCTTGTCAGCCGTAGAACATTCCCCAGTTCCCCTGCGGGGTGACCCTGACTCACAGCAAACCTGGACCCACAGAAGCCCCAGCAGGGATCCCCAGTGTCTCTTCATGGCTTCCTGCCCAGTTCCTGGGTGCCTTTGCCCCTACTCTGGAGGGGGTAGAGTCTTGGGTCCAGAGAATTTTTGTTCTTACAGGCAGTGTGTTCTACCAAAATCCCCGAGCACCAATCTCATCTTAGCTCTGCCATTCACTTAACAGGAAGCCCCACCCACAGCAGCTCAGTGAGAATGGCAGCAACCTCTCCAGAAGTGCAGTTCCACAGTGCAGAAGGTATATGAACATACAAGGTATATATGAAGATATAAAGCATTTTTTAAAACACTTTATGTAAGAGAAGTTTGTGGGAGCAAGTGTGAGAAAGAGTGGATGATACTTCTAATAAGGATCAGTGCCTCAACTGTTTAAGTAGAGCCTTGAATAATCATAAGAAGAGTGACCCCATTTCCCAAATTGCATAGAGTGATAGAGCATTTAAGAATTCAGTTTCCTGACTACTCAGCCTTAAAAAAGAATAAAATACTGCCATTTGCAACAGCATGAATGAGGGCTTTATGCTAAGTGAAATAAGTCTGACAGAAAAAGACAAATATCAATATAACCTCACTTATATGTGGAATTAAAAAAAATTAAACTCACAGATACAGAGAACAAATTAATGGCTCGCTAGAAGCAGGGATGTGGGATGGAGACAAAATAGGTGAAGGGGTCAAAACATATGAACTTCCAGATATAAAATAAATGTCATGGGGCTATAATGTACAGAGTGATGACTATAGTTAATAATGCTACATTGTATATTTGAAAGTTGCTAAGAGGGTAGATCTTAAAAGTCTTCATTATAAAATAAAATTTTGCAGCCATATATGATGACAGATGTTAACTAGACTTATTGTGGTGATCATTTCATAATATATGAATATCTAATCATTGTGTCATACACCTGAGAGTAATACAATGCTATATTTCATTTTAAAAAATTAGTTATATGAAAATCCTGATAAGAGGAAAACTATCTGATTCATGCATTATGTAATAAAGAAGTAAATACATTTTCTTGAATTTAGGAGAGTTGGAGAAACTCAGTATATATGGCCACCATCTACACAGAGAATGATTCCAGTAAGAGTTTAGTGGGTTAAAAGAAAGCAGGATATATGTATAATAATGTGCATTCTGACTTAATTTCCACCTCTCCCCTCCTCCTGTCCAACTGGTGGGCACCCTGCTGACCCACACAGCGGATTTGATCAGACCACTTATTACTGGTCGAATTAAATATTGTCCCTGCTCTTTCCTCCTTCTATTTGTGTTTCTTACTTTTTCATCTCTTCTTTGCTCCCAAGTATTCTTGTTCCTTCAAGTCTCTGGGGGGATATATGAAACATTTCTAGGTCCATGGATTTGGGGATTTTAGTCATAAAAATTTTTAAATTGAAAACAGGGAATGGAGAGGGTTTTTTGTTGTGCTTCCGTGCTCACAATGCTCTGTAATATCCCTGTTCCTCTACCTCTGCCCAGAGAATCATCCTCACAGTGATTTACGGAGGTATGGGCTGCAGATTTCTGAAATTTGTGTGGAATGGCAGAGCTGAAACCCGAGATGAACTTTACACAAACGCTGTTTCCCTCTCCCCACCTTTGCTATCTGTAATCTGACTGCTTCCTGGCTCTCTGGTCTCCTCTCTTTACTGTTCAACCTTCGGGGACCATCAGAAAAAGTCTTTACTTCTTGTAAAGCCTACAGTGCCCCCTGGTGGAGGGAAACCATCAACAACGTCCACTTCAGACCAATTTACTCACCAGTCACTTGTCCCCAGCCCCTATCACTCCATGCTTCCTGATGAAGGAAATGAAGATGGTCAGAAAATTAAGTAACTGCCCAGTTTAAACGGGGATTTAAAGTGAACCAAGTCCTCCTTTTAAAATGGAATTAGCGTCATAAAATAACTGGTCAATTCTCATCTTCTGCAATTTCTTTTACTTAGTTCAAAATAAATACATAAATACGTACTGAGGTTTTATTATAAATGAGGTAATTTATTAGATCTCAAGAAAATGCAAAAGGGATGAGACAGTCATAGACAGAGAATACAGACTTGTGGTTGCCAGCGGGGCGGAGGGTGGGAAGGGATAGACTAGGATTTCAAAATTGTAGAATAGATAAACAAGATTATACTGTATAGCACAGGGAAATATACACAAGATCTTATGGTAGCTCACAGAGAAAAAAATATGACAATGAGTGTATATGTCCATGTATGACTGAAAAATTGTGCTGAACATTGGAATTTGACACAACATTGTAAAATGATTATAAATCAATAAAAAAATGTTAAAAAAAAAGGGGGGGGATGAGACAGTGGTTTATATAGTCCCCTGAGGAAGACAAAAGTATAGATAACCATAACAGAGTCAAAGAATAGTATGCTAAGAGGAGTGTAAACTAAATGCTATATGACCCCAGGGGAGTGAGAAATAGTTTTACTTGGTATGGTTGAACAAAATCTTACAAAGAAAGAGGTTGTTTTCTCTTGTCCCCTTTTTTGGTGAGAGGAATAGAGTAGAATATGGATAAACCTTTTTTATCCATGATAGCTTTTGTGACTTTTATTAACTTTAACATTAAGAGGAATATGAGTAACAGTTTTAAGGGACTATTTATAAAAGTACATTTCAAGTTCCTCTAAAAATACATTAAGATAAGTTGGGAAACCTCACCCTCAAAATTATACATAATCATTCTGTACACCAGAAATTAGGAAGAAGTGTAATCAAGGAAGGCCTCAACTGTCTTGTTTATGAACTCCACATTTGTTCACTTACAGGATTATTGTTGGCTGAATCGTGCCCTTCCCCAACTCGTATGTTGAAGGCCTAGACACAGTGCTTAGAATGTGACTGTATCTGGACAGAGGGCCTTTAAAGAAGTCTTAAGGTAAAATGAGGTCACTTGGGTGGGTCCTAGTCCATGTAACTGGTCTTCTACAAGCCAAAGAGAGAGCCTGCAAAGAAACTAACCAGCCAACACTTTAATCTTGGATTTGTAGTATCCAGAACTGTGCGAAAATAGTTTTTGCTTTTAAGCCACCCAGTCTAAGGTATTTTGTTATGACAGCCTTAGAAAACTAACACAAGAGTCAATTTTAGTATCCTATTATATGAAATGTCACAAAAAAGCAACTTTAAGTCATAACTACATGTATATATACATATATATATATATATCTTAAACATTATAGCAATCTACCTTTTAGGCCAATGTTTATTTATTTATTTATTTTTAACATGTTTTATTGATTTATAATCATTTTACAATGTTATGTCAAATTTCAGTGTAGAACACAATTTTTCAGTTATAGGTGAACATATATATATTCATTGTCACATTTTTTTCTTTGTGAGCTACCATAAGATCTTGTATATATTTCCCTGTGCTATACAGTATAATCTTGTTTATCTATTCTACATTTTGAAATCCCAGTCTATCCCTTCCCACCCCCCATCCCCTTGGCAACCACAAGTTTGTATTCT